GATTGATGGATAGGAGCTCGAAGACGGGGGCAAACAAGCATGTTGTTGACGTACCAAAGCTCGGAAGGCATTTTGGCGGTTGATATGGATTTGGGTTGGCTAAAAAAGTCGAAGAAGACGTCGAGACGAGTCGGAGATGAAGGAAATACGGCGGCAGCTGGGCTGGGGACGATTGCGGTGATGATTGTAGGGGCGGGCGAGGTTCGATGCTGCGTCGGCGACTACTCGAGATGAGGTGTGCTTGTTAAGATCTCGTTTCCAGGTTGGCCTTCTGGTTGGTTGCAAGGTTTTGCGGCGCGTTGACAGCTCCGTGCCCTTACGTAAGACAAGGAGGAGGCGGTGCCCGGAGACCGGCTAAATGTGGTCTCCGAGGTGGCTGGCTCCAAGCTGCAGTCGGGCCCCACTTTCTTACGGAATCTGCCGTCGAAATTTGGGGAAGTGGGATATTTTTTTTTTCATCGGCTTGAGTTTGAACTTTTGGATCTTCACGTTCATCACCGTACTCCCATCGATCTTTTATCTCACCATCAGGGCGAGCCAACGCAAGGAACCCTGCACCATAACATCGGTAAGTCTTTGAGACTCCCTGATTGCCAATTGCAAATAACTAATTGTACTCTGCAGACATCTCTCGACGCCTTACATCCTCAACAATGTCTGAATCCGCTGCCTGGCCCCTTGCCGACGATGCTCTTCAGCAAGAGCTCCTGGACATGGTCCAGCAGTGCCAGCACTACCGCCAGCTGAAGAAGGGCGCCAACGAGGCCACCAAGACTCTCAACCGTGGTGTCTCTGAGCTTATCATTCTCGGTATGTCCGCCCCATCGACCGTTGTTGACGAAACAATGCTGACTTTGCCGGTCAGCTGCGGACACCAACCCTCTCTCGATCGTTCTCCACCTTCCCCTCCTTTCCGAGGACAAGAACGTCCCCTACGTTTACGTCAAGTCCAAGACCGCTCTTGGCCGTGCCTGCGGTGTCTCCCGCGCCGTTATTGCTTGCAGCATCACCTCCAACGAGGGCTCCGAGCTCGCCGGCCCCATCCGCGCCCTCAAGGACAAGATCGAGAGACTCGCCATCTAAGATACCCCCGACGTCGGATAATGGGCGGTGTATCATGATGTATCTTGGAAGGTGCTGAAAAATGGGTTGGAATGGAAAAGTCTGAATTGTTGATAGGCGTCGACTAGCTATTCTTGGGTCCTCTTTCCTCTATGATTTCTGCTACTGTGACGGAACGCACAGTAACTGGCTGCGGAAACAGCTATGTAAATGCGTCTGTCTGTTAGTGGATTCCTGCGAGTTGGTGTGGTCCGGAAAACTGTCAATTGATGATTGTCGAAAACTCAAAATCCCAAATATGCAATGGCCACCCTTTGTTGCATTTAGCGGTGCTTGACTCGGGACGAGCTAGTGGGGGGACCTGCAACTTCCATTGGAATGATAACTTTCGCTGAAGAGCATGGCCAGCGCTTTCATACCTTTGCTACCCACGCTACCTTGCTTTACCTTGGGGTAGACATTGGGAGTGTCGGTGAAGAGGTGAGGACGAATGCAGGCCTGGCGTCTAATGAGCAGACTGAACCACTCATCGGGCCGGTGTCTTAGGCGTGACCTGCGCTTGCTGTCTCAGCGACTCGCACCTGGCCCAGCAAATGCACACTGACGTTACCCCGCGGCCCACCACCCATGTCATAGCTACATGCACGATTTTTGGCCCGCCATCATCAGCAGTTCGTGTCGCGCACAACGTCCCATTCTCTCCTGCATCCTCTTCACACGCCGCCAATGTTGATATTGCGGCCCAGCATAACTAATAACTCGCTCGTGCCTTCTTGGGCGAAGTTTTTGGCCTGTGTCCATTCCTTATAGACTATCCATCGCTTCTCGCGCATTACGCTAATCCCGAATCGCGTTCCGAACCGCGCTGAATCGCAAGATGCCCGGTATCGCTCGCAAGATCATCATCTGCGCCGCGGTCGACGGCCTTATCATACAACCATTTGTGACCAAAGGGCAGCGCCCCGCGCAGCCGGTCAGGATCAAGTATGGCGACGCGTCAATAAGTCCTACTCCACGAGAGCAAATTCCCGACCTTTCTCAGCCAAATTCTTCCTTCGAAGCTTTCGGCGTTATAGGTGCGGCACCCGAGCTTCTAGCTGCGCTCCATAAATGTCGCAGCTTCGATGCTGATTCTTGGGGAATGCAGGTTTAATTACAGTTTCCCGTCTCAGTTACTTGATCACGATTACTCGGCGCCAGCAAGTTGCGCAAATCTGCGGTTTTCCGATCTACGTCGTCACCGAAGTCGCCATTACCCCATGCGCCTCTCAGCAAGAAGCTGGAGAAGCTATCGCCAAGACAGCCCTAGAGCTTCAAGATCGCACGACAGATAAGGGCGCCAACGATAGCGACAGCGATGACTATACGGAGCTTCCAGCGAGCGGCGATGAAGTTGAAGACCCCGCGCAAGAAGCTAAAGCCGACAGCGACAAGGACTATGAGACTGTGAAGAGTACCGTAGCGAAAGATGTTATCGGCAGGAGAGGAAGCTATGGGAGGTTCGCGCAGACCTGGTTCAGCAAGAGTGGATGGACGCAAGACCAAAAGAGATCAGCAGGCTGGAGCGGAGCCGCGCACCAAGTACGACGGTCCGTTGACCATAGTCCAGTTAAGAATGCCCCTCCACGGCCGTCCGTTGACGATGTTAACGAACCGACAACGGCATCCACGCTTCTGCCAAAGCTTCTGCGGATGACCCAGATCTTCTACGGCTCATCAAGAAGCTTCTTCTTTTCTTACGACTTCGATATCACGCGGCGTTGGTCGAGTCGATCCCATGCCCAGTCTGATGACATACCTCTTTACGAGCGCGTAGACCCAATGTTTTTCTGGAACAAGAACACATTGAAGCCATTTACGGAGGCTGGAGAGGATGCTTTGCTGCTTCCGCTCATGCAGGGCTTCATCTCCCAGAAGAGCTTCGTGGTGGATAGCAGTCCTCCTCAACACGACGAAGGTCTCGGGGATTCCGTGGAGCTTTCGACGATGAGACAGCCCGAAGCTGAACTATCTTCACCCCCGCCGGAAGCAGTCCGTGACTCGATCGATCTGCGCTCTACCGAAAAGAAGTTTTTGTTGACAGTGATCTCTCGCCGTTCGACTCAGAGGGCTGGTCTCAGATACTTGAGACGAGGCATTGATGAGCAGGGTTATGTTGCCAATGCGGTTGAAACCGAGCAGATTCTTTCGAGCACTTCCTGGGACAAGTCCTCGAAGATTTACTCTTTCCTTCAAATCCGGGGCAGTATTCCGCTATTCTTCACACAGTCGCCAGTCTCCCTCAAACCTGCGCCCGTCATTCAACACTCGCCCGAAGCGAACTATGCCGCAACGAAAAAGCACCTGGAGCGGCTCAAACAAGAATACGGGCTTTTACAAATTGTCAATCTCGTTGAGAAACATGGTGTAGAAGCAACTGTCGGCACTCAATACGAAAAGACAGTGCAAAGGTTGAACGAGGAAGAAGCGAAAGGCGAAGATGACGTCGTCGGTTTTGAATGGTTTGATTTCCATTCAGCTTGCAAAGGAATGAAGTTTGAGAACGTCAGCCAGCTTCTCGATACTCTCCGCGACAAGCTGGAAGGTTTCGGGAGCACCGTGGAAGAGGCTGGTCAAATCACTGCAAAACAACACGGCGTCTTGCGCACAAACTGTATGGATTGCCTCGACAGGACAAACGTGTGCCAGAGCTCGTTTGGAAAATTCATGCTCGAGTCTCAGTTGAGAGCCGAAGGCTATGATCTTACAGCTCAAGTCGATCAGCAAACGCAGTGGTTCAACACTCTCTGGGCAGACAATGGTGATGCTGTATCAAAGCAGTATGCATCTACTGCGGCCATGAAGGGTGATTACACAAGAACGAAGAAGAGGAACCTTGGCGGCACATTGAATGATCTTGGCCTTTCTTTGACCCGGTACTACAATGGGTAAGATTTTTTGGTCTCGTACTCTTTCTATTCTATCCTCTTGCTAACCCCAAACCTAGAATGGTCAACGACTACTTCAGCCAGGCTGCCATCGACTTTCTTCTAGGCAACGTGAACTCGATGGTCTTCCAAGAGTTCGAGGCTGAGATGATGACAAAGGACCCTGCTGTCTCAATGCTGAAAATGAGGGAGCAGGCCATTGAGCTTTCGCAAAGGCGCGTCATTTCTGACGAGAGCGAAGAGTTCATGGGTGGCTGGGTCCTCTTCAGCCCGCACCAGTCCGATACCTTACGAGCCATGCCCTTTGAGGAGGTGGTGCTGCTTCTAACAGATGCTGCCTTGTATCTCTGCCGGTTTGACTGGAACATGGACAAGGTCTCCTCGTTTGAGCGGATTGATCTAGCCCATGTTGTCGGTATCAAGTTTGGAACATACATCATCTCGACAGTCTCCCCTGGGCAGACGGACGAGATGAAGAATGTTGGCTTCGTTGTGTCGTACCAGCCAGGCAAGAACGACGTTACGAGAACGAACACGAGGACATTTTCGAACCTGGGTATTACAAAGACCAAGACGGACACGACCTCGTCTGAGCAACAGCAGCAGAAGCAACAGCAACAGCCTCAGTCTGCCTTGAGCAGCTTACTGGGTGGTGGGCGCCCCAAGGCGCCGCCGGTGCGCAAGCTCGCTTTCAAGGCCCCATACTCTCAGTCATCCGCCGCCGTGACGGGCGAAGAACCCAAGCTCAGCGAGATCCAGCAGGTTGTCAGCATTTGCGCAGACATTGAACGGCTGGCGTTCCTGAGTCAGCCTGGCAAGGAGAAGCCGGGCACCGAGAGCATCATAGAGAAGGGCGAAATTATTTCGCTAGAGGAGGCGAGGCAAAGCACTGGATTGCTGGACCACATCAGCTACTCTCTGAAGAGACTCGTCTGGGCATGAAGTGGCCTCTTCGGGCACTCGTACACATATACACCATTGCTGCTTTCCTGCCGTTGTTTGTTCTTTGCTTTAGGGTTTCGTTGCGCGATACAGGTGCATTTGGTAGCGCATATTTTCCAGAGAGATTGGGTAGTTGAGAGAATCGGCGAGGCGGAACCAGACGGAGTCGTTGGACTCGACCTTTTCCCACCGACAGCCCGGAAACACACCGTCCTTTTGGGGCTTGTTGACGAGGGTGTGGTCCATGAGCCACTGCATGGGGTACTTTTTCGACTCCTTGCCGACGGCGGCCTCGGAGTAGCTCCCGGGGCTGTCGACGACGAGGAGCAGGGAGCCGAGGGGCACGGTGGCGGTCAGGTTTAGGAGGAAGGCGGTGGTCTTGCCGATGCCCGCGGCGGTGTAGAGCTCGTTGAGGGTAAATAGTAATGTGATGAGTAATGCCTCTTTGCCGAGCTCTTTGGAGAGTTGGTCCCGTGACATTGCGAGGGCGTCGAGGTGCGAAAAGGACGATGAGAGCCGCGCCGCGGGGTCCACGAGGGCTGCGGCGGTGGCTTGGGCCTCGTTTGCGTACCGCGAGGCCGGGGGTGGCACCGTGAGTGCGGCGTGGAGCTTGGAGACTACCGGGGCCCATGGGGCTGCGTCGAGGCAGGTGATTGTGCCTTTTAGGTAGGCTGGTTGTTGGGAGAGGTAGGCTGCTAGGGCGGCTAGTTCTGCGGCGCCGCCGCCGATGGAGAGGATCTTGATTTCCTTTTTGATTTGCGTCGTCTTCTTAGAGATGACCGTGGTGCTGGTGGTGGTCTCGGTTGGTTCCGAGGCGGGTGGTGAAGGGGTGACGGCATCGTCCTCCACTGCGGGAGTAACTTCCCGATCGTCGGTGGAGGGAGGGGAGGAGGAGTTGACATCCCGGGGCGCATCACCCGTCTTGTCCTCGACGATCAACTTCGCGAGACCCTCGGCTGCTTCAGCTACCTCAGCTCCTCCTTCAGCTCCGGCCTCATCTTCAGCCTTCTTGACCTGGACCTCCAACCCCTCGAGGTGCTCCGCGATACCCAGCAGAACAACAGCGTACGCCAGGGCGCGGGTGGGACTCCACCTCGCAGCGTAGGCATCCAGGCTCTCCGCCTTTGCGGAAGTGAAGGCGGCGTCAAAGTCGCGGGCGTAGAGCGCGGCCTTGACTTCTTGCAGGATCGTGGCGAAGGCCGGGGAGGCGAGGACGGGTTGGAAGGCGGAGGCGAAGGAGGAGAGGAGGCGTTGCTGGTGGATTAGGGGGAGGACGTCGACTGCGTTTGTGTCTGCGGAAGATGATGCCTGCCCTTGAGATTCCGGTTGGGCTTTGGGCTTGGCCTTTTGTTGCTTTGCTGGCTTTGCTGTGGTCTTTTTGGAGTTTGCGGCATGGTGGGATATGTCGCGGATATTGTGCTCAACCTTCATTTTTTTACCCATGGTTGCGGAGAAAGTGAAAGTCTTGTCGACTTTCTGATGATGGCGTGTAAGTTTGTGATGTTGAGAAGTTGATGATTTTTCTTTATGGAGGGGTAAAGATGGAGGGGTAAAGATGGAGGGGTAGTGAAATGCGATGAAGAAAATTGCGTTGACGGAAGATTTTGGGATGTTGGCTTCCAAGTGACAGCAGCAATCTTCTGTATGGTCCTTTACTATTCTGTAGGCAAAGATCGGATTTCACGATACAGACATTTGGTATCACGCTGTTCTCCTATCTTCAAATTATTCACTTGGGGTTATTGAAGTTGGGTGAGGCGAAAACTCAATCGGGCAGGATCCACACCGCCCGCTTTTGAGGTTAGTGCACCTGGAGCGAGCTCATATGAGCCGTTCACTAGATGTGAATCTCATGATGAGATGTGACAACATACATGAGACATTGCCTGTGTGGTTGCTGTGATAAATACAAAAATCTTTCACGGGCAAGAAACTAATCGAAGCTGAGTGAGGATCATCCCCAGCATCTTAGATGCACCGCCAAGAACAAGGTCGAACTGATTGCATCGCCTGGACCATACGTCTGCCAAAGCTTGGTCAGCGAAACACAAGGCCCGATTAGCCACGGCCAGTGTCCGAAGTTGCACCGTTGAGGCTAAACTCATTTCACTCAAAATGAGGCAAAGCATGGCTCTCGAAATCTCGATAATTTCGAACCCGAAACCACAGAATTTTCCGCATCTTCTCCCGCTCAATCTCGACCAACAACGGCGTGAACGGATACACGCTGCGTGAAGCGGCGGATATGCGGGTGGAGAGGCTTGATGTCATCCGCAGGGAAGAAGGGAGCTTGGGCCTGCGGCCGCCTTGATTTGCGCGGATAAATACGAAACTGGCCGGATCCCAGACGGATGGCCCGTGCTCACCGGCTCCGGAGGGGGGCACATCGCCCAGAAGAGTGCGAGTAGGTCTACCGTCTTGTACGGCGTAGAGAAAAGCATTGAGGCGCCGAACAAAGTAGATCGTGGTGTTGAGTGTCTGCGGCATACATTCAACCGGACCCGAGTACCGCGTTCTGAGACATGCCGAGGGGTCGCAAAAACGTGAAAATTCGGTCGAGATATCAACGTTTGGTGGCATATTCACGTTAGACAGCCCAGCCCGCCCGAACAACTATCGTTGCATTTGTGTTGACGTCCTCTGCGGGATTCTACCGTGCTGGCCGTAGAAAGCCCGCGCTGGCCTGTCCTGACCTTGATATTATCAACGGATGTCGCGCATCTCGATGCAATACGGCGCCCGCCCGTAGAGGGGCCGGAGGGGCTGCTGTTTCTGCATTCCGATGCTGCTGCGTCTACTACAGGCAGAAGAAGGCTGCAGCCTGCGAGTCGGCCCTGCGACCGAACGGTGAATAAAAAAAGATTGATAGGGGACGCGAGGGGTGTCATCATGCAGTCAGGGTCCACTGACATGACTGGATCTGATGCTCAGCAAAAGAAGTCAAGCCAGGCGGTGCCAGGGTGGTCCAGGTGGTATCGGAGGGGCCAGAGCTTATCCGCGTCGCCGGCTTGAAACAACGCGAGCGAGAGAACTGGAGGCGACGGAGGCGTAGTAGGGATATTTTCGGCGCTTGGCTCTCTCTGGGCCATCTGCTTGGACGAGGCTTTAAAGTCCGGGACACGCTGGGCCTATAGCCGACGGCGACGCAGCATCGTGAGTGAATAAAATAGCGCGAGGCTACTGGCCGGAAAGACTGGAGAGGTGATAGGGTGGGCCGGAGATACCCAAAAGATGCAGCCATCTCCACGGATTAGTCAAGACCCTCCAGGGCGAGCCGGTGTTGCCAGGTCGTGGCAGATACCGAAAGGGACCCAGGTGAATCGTTGTGCTATGTGGGCATTATGACGACAGACTGTCTCCATGATCCATAGATGTTGTTGTTCGCACGAGTCAATACGGGCAACGAGCGAGCTTCTGGAAGGAATCGAGAGTCAGTTCATGGAGGTGAGATACGTCACAGCCAAAAAAAATGTGATACAGTTGATATGCCTTTTGGGTGCTGAGTGAGGGTGTTCCAATGGTGGTGGACTTGCTGCTCGTGCAGTGTGCAGATGTGGTCAACCTGGTGCGCCGAGTGCGGTATGATTCGTCGAGATGGGATAGCCTGGACACCGAGGTCGGGACGCGGCAGAGAGGGAATTGCAAGTCGAAGGCCGGACATTTTTGCCTCCCAGGGGTTGCCGGGTGAATTGGAATACCAGTGGTAGTAGTACATGGAAGCTCATCGACCATGGACGGGTAATAATGGGAGTGAAGAGTGCGGTCTGCGATTGAGCCGACAAAGCCCACCAATACAAGGTCGAGAAAGATGAGTGGCTAGGCAATAGGAGGGGCAAAAAAACAGAAAAAGCCAGAAGAGGCCAAGAAGAGGTGGCAGCAGATGGGACAAGTCGACACCAGTCAGTCAGCCCACAGCTTTTTTTTGCCGGACGACGAGGTTGTTGAGACTTGAGACGAGCTGAAGGTGTTGTGTACCGTTCCCAAGGCCAAAAACTGGAGATGCGACAAAAAGAGATGCGGGACACGTTGGAAAAAACCCCCACTCCATGTGATTGTGAAGATGGATGATGGATAATGGATGATGATGATGGATCAGGATGGGCGAGGGTGGAAGACACCGAAAAGTGACATGAATGACTTTCGGTTTAGCCAAAGGCAAGTAGCAGGTAAAGTATCTCCTGCTGTTTAATGCTCGAGGTATCGTGGCAGGTAAGGTAAGGTAGGTACTGAGATGAGGTTGAGTCCGGGCATCCCGCCAAAAAAGCTCTCAGTAAGGCCAAGCTACCTTAGCTGAGGTACCTTACCTTACTGTAGGTAAAGACAGAGCTCCAAGCGAGCCAATGTACCTCTTCCGCGACGGCAAGGGGAGTAGCTACCTACCTATACTACATTCGTGCTTCCTTTACCTCAGCTAGTTGAAAATGCGAAGTACCTCCAAGTATCGTGGGCTTTCCGGAAGTCCAAGTTATCCAGAGAAAATGCAAGCTGGACATATCACATCAGAGCAATCCAATTCAACTCTGTGCCTGAAGTGAGCAGCAACGAATCCCCCGGCAACAAGCATCCCGCCGTGTGGTGACCTCCTCTTCCCAGTGGCTTGTCTCGTCTGGTGTCGTGTTGTTCCCTTCTTGAGAGAATCCGGCCGCGGCGTCAGTGGTCTGTGTCTGGTCCCCCTTCTGCCCCTCCACCCCTCCACCCCTCCATGTGCCCCCCCTCCGGTCCTTGTCCACGCCCACGTCAGGTCCCCACCAGATGCTCAATAATTACCTTCCCGGCCGACATACGCAGTGACGGTACTGCTGAGGGACGCTCTGAGGCAAAAGGTGCTGCTGTCTGGTGTCGGAATACCAGAGGTACATTACCGCCTCCTCTCCCACTCTTTCTCATCCCTCTGCTTTTTTCTCTCTTCCTCCTCCTCGACGTCTCCTTTAAATTTCCTCCCTCCTTCACATCACATTCTCTTCTTCCCCTGATCGAGTTCTTTATCAAAAAAACTCTTGGAAGAAAATCAGACATCATGGGTTACACCGAACAAGATTGGAAGGCGATCAACACGATCCGCCTGCTCGCTGTGAGTTTCACCCGCCCGCCAGATTTTTACCCCGCCTACGCGCTTCTTCGTTGAGGATTTGTCGTTACCCCGCCATTGAGACCACCACCAACATCCACGATGCTGCGATGCTGTGATCATGTCATCTAGCAATGGCCGGCCGGCTGGCTGGCCTCAATGAGCTTTCTGTCGAGAGCCTCACCATCAATCCGTATCTGGTCAAGAAACTGACAGAGTCTGCGATTCCCAGGTCGATGCCACCTTCAACAGCAACTCCGGCCACCCCGGTGCGCCCATGTACGTATTCTCCCACACTACACGTATTGCACGATGGAATCTGGGCACAGAAACTGACCGATTCTTTTTCTAGGGGTATGGCGCCGGTCGCTCACGTCCTCTTCAACAAGTTCATGAAGTTCAACCCCAAGAACCCCAACTGGCTCAACCGTGACCGTTTCGTTCTCTCGTAAGTTGACCCGCCCGGACATGGCTTCCAAATCCCGAATCGAAACCCGTTGGCTAACTTTCCCTCAGTAACGGACACGGCTGCATGCTTCAGTATGCTCTCCTCCACCTCTTCGGCTACGGCGTCTCCATCGACGACCTGAAGAAGTTCCGCGTAAGTTTGACAATGACTCAAAAGTGAGAAATGAGCCATTTGCTGACAGACCCTGAAGACGGTCGACAGCATCACCCCTGGTCACCCCGAGGCTCACGACACCCCCGGTATTGAGGTCACCACTGGCCCTCTCGGTCAGGGTATCTCCAACGCTGTTGGTCTGGCCATTGCTCAGGCTCACACCGCTGCTGTCTACAACAAGGACGGCTTCAGCCTGTCCGACAACTACACCTACACCTTCCTCGGTGATGGTTGCTTGATGGAGGGTGTCTCTGGTGAGGCCTCTTCCCTGGCTGGTCACCTTCAGCTCGGCAACCTCATTGCCATCTACGACGACAACCACATCTCCATTGACGGTGACACCAACGTCGCCTTCACTGAGGATGTCGTCAAGAGATACGAGTCTTTCGGCTGGGAGGTCCTCATCGTTGACGACGGTGACAACGACCTCGACAGCATCGAGAAGGCCATTGCCAAGGCCCAGCAGTCCAAGGACAAGCCAACCCTCATCAAGCTGAGAACCACCATCGGTTTCGGCTCCCTTCAGCAGGGCACCCACGGTGTCCACGGCTCTCCCCTCAAGGCCGACGACATCAAGCAGCTCAAGGAGAAGTTTGGCTTCAGCCCCGAGCAGTCCTTCGCCGTTCCCCAGGAGGTCTATGACCTCTACAACAAGCACGCCGCCGAGGGCGCCGCTGCCGAGGAGGAGTGGAACAAGCTCTTCGCCAAGTACGGTGAGAAGTACCCCAACGAGGCCAAGGACCTCAGCCGTCGCCTCAAGGGTGACCTCCCCGAGGGCTGGGAGAAGTCTCTGCCCGTCTACACTCCCGCCGATCCCGCCATTGCTTCCCGCAAGCTGTCCGAGACCGTCCTCCAGAAGATCCACCAGATCGTTCCTGAGCTTGTCGGTGGTTCCGCCGATTTGACCGGCTCCAACCTTACCCGCTGGAAGGAGGCTGTCGACTTCCAAGCCCCCGCCACTGGCCTCGGTGACTACGCCGGCCGCTACATCCGCTACGGTGTCCGTGAGCACGGCATGGGTGCCATCATGAACGGTCTCGCTGCCTACGGTACCATCATCCCCTACGGAGGTACCTTCCTCAACTTCGTCTCCTACGCCGCCGGATCCGTCCGTCTGTCCGCCCTGTCCCAGATCCGCGCCATCTGGGTTGCCACCCACGACTCTATCGGTCTTGGTGAGGACGGCCCCACTCACCAGCCTATCGAGACCCTCGCCCACTTCCGCGCTCTGCCCAACAACATGGTCTGGCGCCCGGCCGACGGTAACGAGACCTCCGCTGCTTACTACGTCTCTTTGACCTCCAAGCACACCCCCTCCATCATCGCTCTCTCTCGCCAGAACTTGCCCCAGCTCGAGGGCTCCGTCATTGAGAAGGGTATCAAGGGTGGATACGTCTTGCACGAGGACCCCAACGCCGACATCACCCTCGTCTCCACCGGTTCCGAGGTCTGCATCTGCGTTGACGCCGTCAAGTACCTCAAGGAGAAGCACAACATCGCTGCCCGCGTTGTCTCCATGCCCTGCACGGAGGTCTTCGACTCCCAGTCCAAGGAGTACAAGCTCTCCGTCCTGCCCGACGGCAAGCCCATCATGTCCGTTGAGGTCATGTCCACCCTCGGCTGGGAGAGATACTCCCACGAGCAGTTCGGTATCAACCGCTTCGGTGCTTCCGGTCCTTACAAGGACGTCTACAAGGCAAGTTCCTCATTACTATTTCACCGCTGGTTGTCAGTCATTCTAACCCATGCTATAGAAGTTCGAGTTCACCCCCGAGGGCATCGCCAAGCGCGCGGTCGCCACCGTCGAATTCTGGAAGGACGTTCCCAACGTTCGCTCTCCTCTCAACCGTGCTTTCCAGCAGATCATTTAAAGCGGTCATATCCATGGGTAGAAATTGGTTAATTGGCGATTGTTCTTATTTTTTTTTAACGCAATGACGGACGTTTTACGGGGAAAATGAACTCGGTATATAGAGAGACCGTCAAAAATCCAAAGATTATGATTAACGCGAACTCGCGCTTTCCTGTACGCCTTAACCCACCCCATACCGTAGCCTGGTTTGGTTTCCGTACCGGGTCCTCCATGTGACCATGATCTCATTGCTCGTAATCCTCATGAAAGGACCAAATGCCCTGCCCCGACTCGAACTGTCCAGGCCACGATGTCGCTTTCCTCTAGGCATCGTGAACCTTCCACCTAGGACACCCTTTGCCCATTTTTGTTACGATCTGACCATACTCTCTCCCTCCATCGTCCGTCCTATTGATATCTGAATGTTTGTGTGTGTTTCAACGACCCAGACCATCTGCGTCGCCCGTCCCTTCTTCGGCCGCCCATTCCCGTTGGAACTCCCTACCCACCCTCTCGAGTCTGCCGGCGGCGCGGCGCGCTTCCATGGCCTCCTCGCCTGTCGCCGCGACCACCATACCGACCAGCATCGGCGCCGCATTCTCTGGCTCTTCGCCTAGCTTGCCCGTCTCAGGCATCGCTCTCGCTGACGCCCCCGCTGCGGAAGATGACTCTGCTATCGGGGCAGCGCCGGCGACACCCGAGGATACGGGTCTCGACGAGGACTTTGACGCCGAGGGGACGGAGCTCTCTCCGCCCGAGTTCGGCAGGGCATCGGCGCCGTTGAGGAAGGAGGCTAGGACGACGGGGCTGCCCGGACCGTGCTCGACAATGATGCGCTGGGCGGGGCCGAGGGAGAAGCGGTTCGCGGCGGCATGAGCAGTCAGAGAGGTCGTCGTCAGGGAGGTGAGTGCCTCGAGTTGAGATTGGGAGTGCGCCGAGGTCAGGATCGGGTTGAGGGCGCGGTCTGTTAGGTGGAGGGCCAGCGACGGATGTTGTGAGGGGAGGGAGGCCATTATTGGCGGTGGCTTGTATTTTGTCGGGTGGTCGGGCGTGTGTTCTGCGCCGGTCGAGAATGAAATACTGTCGCTGATCTGGAGATTTGAGACGGAGACGATCTTATGCCGAGAGAGGGAATTGAATAAAGTAGAGAGTTGCGACAGAATTGGGTAGAAGATCAGCAAGTAAGGTAAAGAAGGAGGGACGGGAAGGAAGAGAGACGGCGAGGCTTTGGTTAGTCGGGTAGGCGGGCGGTTTGGCGCGGGCTTGTGGGCTTGCGGCGGTAGTGGTGGTGGTGGTAGTGGTACTGGTTCGGCGTGAGGTAGTTTGCAGCACCCTGTTCGCACCCGTACCCCGCCATTACCCCGCCAAATGCCGTGCCCGACGCTCAAAGGTGGAACTCTTCTACCGCCCGTTGAGAGATAATTACGCTGCATCTTTAGCACCATTACCTATCTTCCGCCTGCATTCAGATGAGACCCCCACCCAAGAGATTACCGGGGCTATTTCTGAAGAGATGTGATAGGAAAGCGGGCTCGTATGACTGTTGACGATAAAGGAACGAGGGGGGATCTGGTGGGAGAGATGTGTCATGGGACTTTGCTGTGACGCAATGTCGAAGCTTGGTTAGTGCACAATTACAAGGGGCCATCTGTGCCTCCGTCCTGTGCATCCCTAATAGACAGGCCTCAGCGGCTGGCCCTCGTTCTCGTTGCCCGCTTCACGTCGGCAGACTTTGGGGCACTGCCGGTGCTATGACGCCTCTCACGGTTGTTCGCAGCCGGAGCGGCGAGACTGCCAGACGTCTTTGGCGAAGACCGATATCCGGGCCGTCCGTCCAGGCTCCGCCGGTGGTGGGAGGTTCGAAGACGAGCTGTCGCGGACGAGGAAAGGGGCTCGGCAACCCAGGTATCCGCGGTCGTCTCGACGAATGGTTTCTCAGCGGCTATGGAGGCTCGAGGGGCAGGATCTGCGAAGTGAACCGTCTTCTGACTGCGACGAGCCGTCGGTGTTCCCGGCGCTGTTCCTGGCGCTGTTCCTGGTTTCTCCTGTCGAGATTTCTGCGTCGAGCGCATGGCGTCTTCTCTTTCCGGTTCCTCCCCTATGGTAGACAGCTGATGAGCTGCGACTATAATATCGACGTCGTCTGAACTTGACGAGGGATCTTCGGATACCTGGTCTCGAGGCTCGGCTACGATTGTAGGTTGCGTCGCGGCCGGTGCGGACTTTGGCTTCTGGCGAGAACGCTTGCGCCTGCTGCGTTGTTGCTGTTGTTGCTGAGGCTCGTTTGCGTTTGCCACATGGATATCTTCCTCGCCAAACAGGTATCCGAGCAGGTACGCATCTTGGACTTCCGGGGGTTGGTGGTCCCAGCATAAATGATTGGTAAATCGCGCATCGTGAAGTTTGGCTTGATTATTGGGACATCTGGAGACTCGACACGTATCTGGTCCTGGAGTCAGAGTGAACTCATACGTTGTCGAGGGGCCGGAGCGGCCTGGTGGAACACTTACACATGTGTTCCTGACAATATGGGCCCTTGCGGTATCGAGGCCTCACGCATCCCTGCCGTCTACAAACGGCATGTTGAGCGCAGTATCGTGATTTGGACCCTGGATCGCAGACTCTCTGGCAGCCGGGAGTTTGACAGCGAGCGTCAGGCCTTTCGGCATCGCTGCTGCCTGCGCCAGCATTGCTGCTCGATACACACTGCCCCATGGCTCCTCACCGTCGCTCATCTGTTCCATTCCTCCAGCACAAGCTGAGAGGATGGACGAGAGTTGAGCAGGACATGTTCTGGAGAACATGTCAGCTCTCAACATGCTTTAATGTTCGAGCTGCATAATTGTGCTTGGGTCCTTTGTTGCCGCGGCACCTCCAATCATCTTGAATAAGCCAAGTCGTCCCTTGTAGAGCAGGGCGGACGTCTTTCAAAGGAACGAACGAACGAGACGCTCACCCCCTCTAGCCCCTTGCCCCCTGGCTCGATGCGTTCCCGCGCTGGCAGGCAGACAGGGTCCTTCACTGGGGTCCGAGATGCAACTTGCATCCATTTCGGACGCTGGGCCGTCGCCAACTGGACATCAGCGCAGTTGAAACGAGGGAGAGCTTGCCAATCAGGCGGTACCAAAGGGCAAAGGTTTGAGCGATTGGGACACTGAGAAGGCGATGTAAGGCGCCAACGCATTGAAAGACGACGGCTAGGTGGGCCAAAGGATGTGCAGGGGGATGGAGGGTGTTCGTCGCGTCGGTGAGACGGCAGGAGGCCCGCTTGGAAATATGTTGACTTTTTGCTATTTGTTGTTGCGATGGACTCGTCTTCTCATTCGACAGATTCCATAAGAGTGGCATGAACGGCATGATGTTTGACTTCGGGCGATGATTGCATCTTGATGATCACCAGTGGCGAGACGGTGTTAGTCCGATCGATAGCTGCTGGTAGCTGAACAGGTGCAGTAATTTGGGTGGTTCTAGATATTGATGGATCAATGTTACAGAAAGGAGAATACTGTGTATATCGAACGAGAGAGAGTCATTTTCTGGGAGGAGTTGAATCCTATCACGTAGGAAATAATCGTTTATTGGTGGTAGAAGTTTTATTCGATAAAGTAATGTCCAAACGGCCAGAAGAGGGTTCATCGGAACAGGAGGGGTGGCCCCTGTATGCTTAGCACACTTCACGCATAGCTGTTGCGCCTGCCTTCGTCATTGGGGGGCCCGCCCCTGTCAACCACAAACATTACGGATGAGTGCAGGTGGAATGTGGCTTGTTCTTGACACGAGTGGACAGCTAAGCTCCTGGGCTCGAGGCTGAGCGTTCAACTCGCAGCAAACATCCAACTTTACATTCCGCGCTCACGGCAACTTCTTCGTCGCAATTTTCTGCAACAACACCTAGGAGTCACTTGATCTTGTTTCACGACACACCCAAGCACCATTGCTTCCATCATGGCCGACGCTGAAGAGAAGGCCAAGGCCGAAAAGCTCGCCGCCGCCAGAAAGAGAGTAGGTTTACTTGCGGTGCGACCACCATCGGTCCATTACTCACAGCTTGCTAGGTAGAAGAGTTGAAAAAGAAGAAGACAAAGAAGGCCGCTGGTTCATCAAAGAAGGAAAAGGCCGAGCCAACAGCGGCAGAACCCGGCGTCTCGAAGGACAAGGACCCCGAAGCCGAACCCACGACACCCGCCGATCCTGCCACCGAAGACACGAAAGAGGACGAGAAGGAAGCTACGGAAGCTATCGCGGAGCAACCAGCATCGCCAACTGCATCTCAACCTTCACTAGCTCAACAGTCCAAGCTCCGTTCTGCGTCCTTCCGACAAGGATCCGTCTCCGCCGGCAATGGTCCTCTTTCGCCCAGCGCCGAGGCTCCTGAAGGCGAGAGTGCCACCGATATTTATCGAAAGCAGCACGCTCGGATAGAGGAGCTTGAGAAGGAGAACAAGCGTCTAGCCAAGGACTCTACCGATGCGGAGAGGAGGTGGAAGAAGGCCGAGGAGGAGCTGGCTGATCTGCGTGAGACTGAGGGCGAGGGCAAGGGCGGTCCAGACAGCCAAGTCGAAAACCTAGTAAGCATCACATTATACAACCATGCGCCCTTGAAACGTTTGCTGATAGAATGCCAAACAGAAATCCGAGATCGAGGCCCTTCAGCGCCAGAACTCTCAGCTCCAGCAACAAGCTTCCCGCGCAGGTGGCCGCCACGGATCCTCGCCATCGGTTTCGATGTCTTCTCCCCCCGCCGAGCTCGAGGCCCAGCTTGCCTCCAAAACCGCCACTATCGAGTCGATGGAGATTGAAATATCAAAGCTCCGCGCACAGGTGGATCGTCAGACTAGCGGCACCTCCTCCGAAAAGGAGCAGATTGCCGCTTTGGAAGAGAAACTCGCGCGATCTGAAAAGGCCGCCACCAAAGCGCAGCAAGAACTGACTGACTTGCGGAAGAACCTTGACCGTACGGCGGAAAAGGCTGTCCGTGAGGGTAGCGAACGCACGAGCGCAGAGACGAAGCTCCGCAGCTTGGAGCATGACCTCGCCGACTCGATCGATGCCAGGCTGGAGGCCGAGAAGAAGGCCGACGGCCTGGAAAAGAAGGTCACGACGCTGACCACGCTTCACAAGGAGCAGGACTCGCGCACTCAGACTTTGCGGAAGGAAAAGGAGCGCGCCGAGAAGGAGGTCAGTGAACTCAAGGCGCGAGTTGAGAGCCTCGAGAGCGAGAACACGAGGCTGCGGAGCCGTAAGTCCACCGAGGGTGGTGGCGGCCTGGATGACGACGGCGTCGACGAGCTCGAGAACGAGGAGCGCTTGCGTCTCGAGAAGAAGGTGCGTGACCTCGAAGCCGAGGTCTACGAGCTCCGCCACGGGCACTGGCAGGAGAAGCGCCGCGAGCTCAACAGCCCCAGCTTCGAGAACGTGGACCTTGGCGGGAGCCGGGGCACGTCGCCGTCAGCGCACAGGAAGCAGGCGGCCGGCGGTGGCATTGGAGACTTTTTCCAGAGTGGAATCAACGCTCTCACCGGTACCGGGGACGACGAACTGCTCCTCGACGACGACGATATGGACTTTGACGAGGACGCGTTCCGCCGTGCGCAAGAGGACGACGCCAAGAAGCGTATCGAGCGCATCAAGGAGATTAAGCGCACTCTTAAGAACTGGGAGGGCTGGAGACTGGACCTTGTCGAGAACCGGCGGGGCGGATCCGAGGGTGTGGGCGATGTATTTGAGGTCTAGACTTGACGTCTAGATATTTCATTTCTCTCTCCAGCGGCAAGGTCTACTGCCAGCTTCTGCTTAAGATGCCGAGAATCTCTTAGCTTTGTAGACTTGAATCTCCTTTGACGCCTTATTATGGAGCGTCATTTTCTCCGGTTTCAGACGCTTGGGAGGAAGTACTCTCTCCAAGAAAGCGTTAGGATTTCTTGGGTTCAAGTCACAGGTGTAGAGTTGAGGGCTCTTTTGTTTTCATAGATTCGAGGGCCTTTTGAGCTCGGGAATATGTAAGAGTACAGGTAGACGAGAACTGATATCCAAACAAAGTGAATTTCAACGAGCGTCACTGAGCTTGGTTTTCGTATATGATTCAATTTAAACGTGATGAATGTCTGGAAACGTATTTACCCCCATATCCTCAGTTCCCTTTGCTTTAGCTCACTTTCATTTGGATGCGGCCGATATCTCAATAACAACGAGTTGTACTTCACCGGCCCTGGGACCTATCCGACGTATCTACCTACTCGGTTGAGTCGCGCGGAGTCTACTTTACCTGGCGATGATCGTCACTCGTGCATCCTGCAACCACACCCCCTGCCTACCTTGCCTTGGTGATTTGCCTCAGGCAAAAGCCACATGTGACAACGCGTTCCTAGTCACTTTTCTCTCGCACAGTAAAAACGTGTAGAGCTTTCTTTTATTTTTTCGGCCTCACGCGTAAAGCACCCAGCTTCAGCTAGGGTTACGTCATCCACATTCATGTCCACTTACCAAACCAGTCTTTGGCAACTCCTACATGTTCACATTCTGCAGACTTTCATCATATTGTAGGAGGAGATAATTAAGTTAACATTGAAGAGGAGAAGAGAAGTTTCATCTTGATTTATGGGGGTTGTCAGGATACCATACTATCATCAGAGGTCATCCCGTGTCTATGGTACTACACACTTAAGAATGAATAATCGTTCGCAATACAAGATAGTAGAATTACAAGAGTTGTTTTCGGTGCTGAGAAGAACCTGAGAAGCGAAGGGAGGAGGCATGAGTTGAGGAGGAGAGGGGAAATGTACAATCTACCATTTGCCGTCAAAAGGAAAGGAAAAGGGTGGAAAACAAACTCCGGAAAAACATGTGGTATTTCTCTTCTTTTTTTGTTCCATCTTTCTGGTTTCCCTCTGCATACGCTCTGCGTAGCGAAGGGGAGGGGGGATATCAAAAAGTAGTCGTCATCGTCTTCGGGCTTTCTTCGCCACCGTAGAAAGCCGTGGAAAAGAAAAAAAGTCGAGTATTGATTTTCCCCGTAGAACGCCGGTTTCCCCCTTTCTGTTGGATTACCCATGCCGTTAAAACTATACACGGCGTCGTGTGACCACGGCCAAATGAGACAAAACGGAATTGTATGGATCATAAAAAAGCAGATTTCTGCCCTAGAACGCCTCGTCGATGCGTGTGTCGTAAGAGTGTGTACGTGGTGTGATGGTTGGTGTGTGCGGTGAGGTGTCGAGTCGAGGACGTGGGGGTTCAACGTGGAAGCCTGAAGTGTGAGTCGTGGCCGCCGGGTGTTAACTTAAGGTGTGGTGGTGTGGTCGTAACGCCGTAACGGGAAGTTCGGGAGGAAGCTGTCGCTTTCGGGAAGAGGCGCAGGCGTTGCGTCTGATTGTCACAACATCGTGGCGGTGGGAGCGCCGAGCCCGGACGGATCGAGGTTCGTCCGCAGCGCATCCTGAAGCTCCGCAATCTGCGACATCATGGCGAAGCTGTGCTGGCCCTGTCTGTCGAGTTGCTGGCGAAGCTCCTCATTCTCCATGCGTACGCGCTTGATCTCCTCGCGCAGCTCGTCCAGACCAGCGTCAGATCCCTTTCGGGAGCGCTTCCGCTTGTTTCCTGCACCGAATCCAATGGCCTTGTCACTGTCACCGTCACTATTGGTTTGGATGTCTTCTTGGACCGTGCTGGAGCCGTCGCTCGTGTGTACTCGTCGGAGATGCTCATTAAGGTTCTCTTGCCGCGAGAAGCCCTTTCCAGTGTGGCGCTTGCAATTCGGATGGGGACAGTTGACCGTGTTCTTTGGGCCGCCGTGCTTGCCGTGAACTTCGCGCTCGTGGCGGAGGAGGCCGCCGGAGTATGTGAAGCCGGGAAGCTTTTCGCAACCCTCGACAGCGCATCGGTAAGGTCGCTCGTGTTTGTCCATGTGTTTGCTGCGAGAAAAAATTGGTCAGCATCATTACAAAGTGGCAAAAGCCTCGATGTTTGGTTGACTTACCTCCATTCACATTTCCGGGTGAAGATTTGCGTCTCTTCCGTGCATCCCGGAAAAGTGCAGTAGAACTTTCCATCGGGCTGTTTCGTCACCTCGCGTTCGGGCTTTGGTATGCACTTAACCCTCGATGTAGGAGTCGAGGCCTCGCCCTCGTCCTTGTTGTTTGATGGCAGGGGCTCGGGAAGCGCCGGAGGAAGACTCGAAGGAAGGGACGCAAGAGTTGGAGGCGCTGAAAGATCGAGTCGCGTCGCATCCGGGACGCCAACGGATGCATCGTCAAGACCGTCCGGCATCAGAGACCGGTCGTCGCCGAGCATCGAGGACGCCGGATTGTAGGAGGCGAGGTCCGGGACGTCGGATGCCTGGTATTGCCCAGTCTGATCGAGGACATGGTCGTGATCGTGGTCGCCGATGGGAGGATAAGAGCCATCGTGCATGAAATTACGGGGTTCGTAGACGACGCTCATCTTGACGGGAATCCTGTGGTTGCTGGATGAAGCTTGTGATGGGGGAGAAGTGATGATCGGGAGAGGTCGTGATCGTGAAAGAAGTCGCGACTTCCGGGGCGTTTGCGGGGACTCGCAAAGAAAACGACAAATAACGATTCCACAGGAAAGAAATTAAAGAATCGCCGCAGTGAGGGATACTGCGACTGCGGTTACTTGATAACGCGTCGCTTCGTCAAGCTTGCAGGTGATGAGCTCCGATGCTGCGAAAGGCAGAAAAGTCAGTTTGCCTGAAAAATCTGGCTGAAGACGTGGAAGCTGGTAGCAAGCTGCGTCAGCCACATGGGCATGGATATGGATTATTCAGCCAAGGTCCACGTGATCCTTGTTCGCCACCAGCCACTGTACCCACTTTTCGTTTGTTGGCTGTGGCGCTGAAGGCAGAAGATGGATGCTTGCACAAATAGCTGTGAGGGAACCCACCAACTTTTGAGGATATATGTCTTTAGCTTCTTTGATTCAATCTCGGATGTACTTCAGCTGGGAAGGGGTTCTTGTTATCGTACCTTGGGAAATACCTGGAACATTATATGCTTGCCAGGTCTAGGCGGCAAAGCCTTTGAGTGACTCTATTTGGTTGGTGATGGTGTCGTCGAGATGCCTACCAGTGACTCACAGCCGAGACGCATTAGGTTGGCCTACAAGGCTGTCAGCGCAGGGGTCTGCGCACTTTGACAGTTCAGCTGTCTCGTGATCATCACTTAAAGCCCAGGAAGCTCCGATTAGCTCTTGGAGATGATACTTAGGAGGTGTATAGCTCAATATGGATCAAGGACTCACCTGTTGCTTACGGAGGATTGTCCTAGAAGATCTTACAGCCCCAGATCCACGATAATCTAGACGGCGATTGGTAATCCTTAGCGAAGCTGAGCCGCACCAGAGTTAATGTGGCACGGGCATAGAAGTAGATATTCACACACAGCCGCAATGAGGCCATTCAGCAGGTCAGCGTCAAGGTTCCAACACTGGTTGGCTATAACGATAGACAAATGTGTGATCCAAGGAAATGGTGAATAGGCTCACTGATGCCACCGGCTTTCACCCTAAATCACCTCGAGAGAGATGCTCAATGTGAGTAGGCGACAGTTGGGCTTCGTAATTAGGCATCGTGCCAATGGGCGAGATATCCGGTTGAGAGACGTCGGTGTGAATGAGTACACAACGAGACCGTTGTCACTTGATCATTGGGCCATATCGTGAGCTTGCCCAGTGGTAGACACTGCGTGTATGAGGCCCTTCTTCGCACTCGCGCGTCTGGACCTGGCGCGAACGCGTGAATCGTTGTCATCGCCCACACCACCTCCCTCTTTGGGAGTACAGTCGTCAGCCTATAGCATCAGGAACGCTGCTGTTTGGATAGTCCGCGTACCATACGCCTAGGTCGCGGGGGGCTTCTGTTCACGCTTTGTCCTGGCCCTAGCCAAGAAGCCCAGTGCCTATTCGCCTGGAAGCCTATTCGTCACGTTCACCGATGACTCGGTTCAGAATCGCCAGGTGTGGTGAAACGACTACCACAACATGAGGAGGATGGGAACTACCCCGCTCAGGGATAGATCTGGACTCCGTCGAGGTGGATCAATAACCATTTCGGTGAAGCAAGCAACCAACGAATTGAGTTTGCGAGCTAGAGAAGCTGGCTTGAGCCAGTTGCGTGTAGGTATGACGACGTTGTTGGCGAGCTGGCGGTCAGGCAGGTCGGGGGGTTGTAGGCAGGCACCCAGTCAGGCAGTGATATCGCGAAGAGAGGCGTGCAGATAAGAAGCGAGAGTTCGCAGGCAGACCAGTGCCTATGTATACGTGTGGTCTCAACGAATTGCAGACTACAATAGTTTCAGCATCGTGTATGAAGAGGAGAGCAAGTTGACGTGGTTAGTGAGAGGAGACTGGAGGAAGTGGGGTTGTGATGAGGAGAAGGGGGAAGGAGATGAGCATCTGCCCTCAACTCCTAAAGGCTAAGGCCAAAACCTTTTTGATGCCTTATTAAGGCTGTGACGGCCCATGGCATTGTCCGCCAAGCATCCGATAGCAATGAACGAAGGTCTCAAATTCCAAGATAATTACAGACGAGATCGAGAACTGACAACGAAGCTTGCGATAATCCGGTGTTTCTGTATGTCAAAGTGAAGCTGGAGTTGTGAGGTTGAAGCGACGCTCGACCACTTGAAATTGACCCCACCATCCATTTTCTGTGCGTGTGGCCACCACCTACACCACTAACAACACCACCATCTGGTTTCTAGGCAAGGATGGTATTATCAGCGCCTTCAGCCACCAATTATTGCAGCAGCTACTCGTCCGAGTACACTTTCTAGACTCATGTCTAGTCGTATATACGAACACTTGATAGCCATGAAATGCAGTGTGTTCTTCTCTTCCTAAGCAACTTAAAAACACCCCTAGACTTTGACAGTTTAATCGACGCTTTGACTTCATCTAAATCGCTCTTTTCCCGCCATCTTCTGTCGTAGGATAGCCCTAGTCATCTGCGACTTTACCAATATTGGTCTGAACCGTTCCCGTCGATTCGTGTCTTTGTGGCCCGACTTGAGGCCGGTGTCACGGCGCTTCGATTGGACTCAGTTAGTGACCGAGTCCGGAGTCGCTGAGGCTCGGCAATGTGGGCTGCGCTGCGGGCCACCGACAATCGCACCGCAAACTGCACACCGATCCTGCCACCCGGAGTGGAGCGCCAATTCTGTTGGGCGAGAACGGCCCATCAGAGATGAGTGAGAAGGAGAGGTCTCTGAGAGCAAACTCCTCCTCCCTTTGGGTCCCTCGGGAGACTGACCGCCCAGATCTGCTAGTGCAGCTAAGCCAGAACCACCTGAAGATGACGGCCCTAGCTGCTTCCTCGGAGGTATCCACTATCAGCTCCGATGTGCCCCTCCAAGCTCCCAGCCCGTCGGCAAGTGACGCCTTAAAAATGCCTGTGATATCCGCTCGCCCAAGACGACGAAAACTTCACCACCCTCAATCACCATCGCGAAACCCCCTGCTCGATTTTGCGAAATTGGCCGTGGTTCAAAAGACCCAAGCCAGGGCTTAAGCGCCGAGACCACCAATTGTCTTTTTATCGTCCGTCCGTGAGAGTGACCAGAAAAAAGACTCGTAGCAGGCACTCCCATTGCTTCGTAGTCAAGTATGGCTCACATACACGAGGAGGCGCATGGCGCCGATGACAAGCAGCCCAACGAGTACAGCACACCAGCTGGCTCGTCGACTCTGGAGCCCGCGGCCGGGCCATCTCACCAGGAGCCGGAGGAATACGATGTCGAAACAGTCGAGAGAGTGTACCGGTATGCATGCAACCCCTCTGAAGCTGTCACTTGCGCCGGACGATGAAGCTGACGGCCACCTAGGAAGCTCGACCTTCGAATCATTCCAGGTAAACATTACTTTTTCCTCAACAGTGATACCATGGGGCTAACGGTTGATAGCATTCTGGACGCTCTACTTCCTTTGCTCTGCCATCAGGTCCAACATTGGTATCGCACAGACGATGAATGCAGCCCAGGGTCATGACTTGATGTCCGTCCTCGGCCTCACAGCCAAAGACACATCAACCGCCTTGGCTCTTTTCTACGTGGCCTATGTCATCTTCGACTGCCCCTCCAATCTGGTTATGGCCAAGCTGAGCCCTCGCATCTGGATGGCCCGCATTGTCATTGCCACCGGCATCATTGGCACCTGCTTCGCTGCCGTGCAGAGCGCTTGGAGTGTCAAGTATGTTGACAACAAATAGAATTCCTTGTCAGATCTAACCTTTCTACCAGGCTTCTGCGATTCTTGCTCGGTGTTGTGATTGCGGGCATGTGGCCTGGAATGTCGTACTACCTCACCTTGTTCTACCCGCCTTCTCGAACGGGTAAGCGAATTGGCATGTACTTCACCGCTGCCCAGCTCTCTGCTGCAGTGGTTGGCCTTGTGTCTGCTGGCTTTCAGCTCATGGATGGTTTGGGAGGCCTCGTCGGTTTCCGTTGGATGTTCCTCATCTACGGCCTGGTTGCCGTGGTTCTTGGCTTCTGCCTGCTTTGGTGGCTTCCCGATCGCCCTCTTCCTCCTGGGCAGAAGCGTCAGCGCTCAAGCTGGTTGAAGTGGCTTCCGGCAACCCCAGAGGCACTTTCCGGCCAGGATGCCGTCATTCACTACAATGACCTCCGACGGGTCTATCACCCCAGGCCCTGGACTATGAGGGATCTGCTGCAGGTGCTGATCGATTGGCGCCTGTGGCCTTTGACTTTCATGTACTTTGGCGTCGTTGGCGTTGGAATCGGTACGCAGCTTTATGGATCTGTCATCATCCGCTCCATTGTGCCCACGGCAACGAGCATCCAAGTCAGCTTGCTCTTTGCTCCGATCTGGATCGTAAGTCTCTTGTATTGCCTACGCGGACGTTCATTGACAAAAAGCAGATGGACTTGATTGCGATTCTCATAATGATGCCAATTTCAGATCGATTCCATGGCTACCGACCGTTCATCTTCTCAGCTGCGGTTTGCCTTCAGATCGCCGGTCTGCTCGTCGTAACCTTTGCCCTCGATAACGGATGGGCTCGGTACGGTGGTCTCCTGATGGTTGGATTCGGTCTTGGCCCCACCGTTCCCAACTGCATGACATGGACGAACGAGATCTTTCAGCGCCGTCACGGTGAAGTCGGTGTTGCGGCTGCGACTGCTCTGGTGTCCGGCCTTGGCAACCTTGGAAGCATTGTCACGACCTACGCTCTGTACACCGGATGGCCAGAGGACGCCGCCAAGGGCCGTTATCAGTACCGTCGTAGCAACTACGCAATGATCGGCATCCTCTGCCTGAGCATCGCCAGCAGCTTCGCCATGTTCTTCCTGCTCAAGGTCTTCGGTAACAAGCCCGTGAATAAGATTTCGAGCCTCGACTCCTCTAGTGAGATTGAGGACGGCGCCGCAAGACGCGAGGCTCGGCAACGAGGCTTTGGAAAGCTGTTCCCTCGTTCCAACCAGAACCGGGAAGCCTAGATGGGATTCCATCTTGAGGCAGTAAGCCGACAACCTCCGGGAACATACTCGGCTCCGGGAGCTTCAACAACCACTCGCGGCTCTCAATGACAATTTACCCAACGGCCCGTTTCTGAGGCAGCTCAACCTGCCGTTATCT